ATTAGCTGTGTCGTTACCCTTGTTGCAGAAGACAAAAATGGGCTAACGACGATCGTCTAACAGCAGGTGTGGAAAGCATTAAGGTTCCAAGTCTAATTAACCATCACTTTTGAGGGGTCACAGCATACTCTAACAAGTACCCTAGCTGAGCTTACTGAAAAACGAGGATTCCAGCAGATAACATTTTAGCCAGATATGTCAGCTCGAGTCGCGCAGAACTTCCATCGAAACGTGATTTATTTTGCTTGGAGTTAAGTAACATTCAGTGTTTTATTGAATAAGGTGAAGCCTCATTCACGTGCTCGTTCCGGTTGGGAAACCTCAGAAGATCTAAGTGTGGCACGCGTCCATCTCTCGTAATTATAGAAAGGACCACCTTCGTACACACTTGCTCAAAGGTTTCCCTATCATTGGCCCCTAGAAGACCATTTGCTCCCTTTATTGTAGGTTTTCTTATCCCAGTACAATATTTTAACTAGCTACCGATGATTAAACGGCACAAAACGATCATTAATAGTTGGTCAAATACCCATGAAAACAAAATTTCTGTGATATGTAAGTTTTAATTGCAAAGATTCGTAGCTACTCATTATTATGTGGTCGCCAATAGGAGCTATGAAATGGGACCTCAAAACAGAATAGACGACCCCCGTTCAACATTTTCATGAAGCAATACTTATAAACCCTGCTTCCACTTAGAGAAATTCTCATGACTATTAACCCATTTTACTCTAGTCCCCAAGTGAAGAAAACTGATCTCGATGCTAGAGTATTTCGTGGGATATTAAAAGGCTTTGCAACTTTTCGGAAATTATTTATCGTCACCTGTTTTTTCTCAGCCTGGAATTAAAACACAATAAGTGCATTTTAGTCAAAAGACCCATTTTTATCCCATAGTAGTAAGGTAATAACGCCTTGCATAGATCGGCATTTCTTCGTGCATATCACAATGTAAGTGACGGTTCATCAAATTTGTAGTGCGGGCTTCCAGCAACAATGCATTCTAGTCACATATTCTACTCGAATATGGTAGTAGGGGGTGTATTGCAGGTACAATAGGCAAGGGATTAATTACTTCCCATATTCAAGGAGTGAAGTTAGGCGAACGAACGTTTTCGATTAATTCATCATCAGGCAAGTACAATATTGTAAGGGAGAGAAGAATTAACATAATTTTAAGCAAGCAATCAGTAGTAATTAGAGGGGGAGGTTTTAAGGGATCAAAGGGGTCAGATGCTACTCATAATTAGGAACCAGAGAGAG